GACAATCAGTGTTGACGGCCCAGACGTAGCGTGTGCATGCGTCGATGAAGGTAAGTGTGTAGTTCTCGCTGTTGAGCCCTTCTTGGCTGAGAACCATGAAGTCGCTGTAGACTTTGTCGAGCGGCTTGTAGCGTTCATAGCCAAGGGGTAAATCGGGAAAGGGTTTGTGGGCGAGTGACGCAGTCGAGCACACGGTGCATGGCGGGTCGGCTGATTCCGCTGTCAGGGAGCCTCCGCGTGGAAGAAGCAGAGCATCGCCGTCAAAGACACCAGCCTTGAGGGAATTCTTCAGCGTGGCGTGTGAGGGATGTCCGGATCGCTTATGCCATGTTTCCGGTTCCGCACGATATCCGACAGTCCTTTGATAATATTTGTGCCTTTCTGCTTCGTCGTGTTGCCGCTTTCCAGGTACCGTGTAGGTGGCGGCGTCAACGTCGGTCGCGAAGGCTCAAACGGAGTCTCTTTCCAAGAAGGCGCGAGGAATTCTGATGATGTCATCTGTATCAGTGGCGGGGTGCTTGCCGGTGACGAGCAGGTATGAAGATGGTGGCGCTTTGGGCCAATCGGAGACGGGGAGCCCTGTCGTGGGAATGCAAAAGTAACTGTATTCGTCGTCGATGACCTCAATTTGTTAGGGCCCTTGTTCGGGTGACGGCGACTCCTCGGTAGGTTCCGGTAGTTTCGTTGCTTCCTCGAAGAACTCATAAGTTGCTTCTTCCGACTCTTCTTGAACTGTTTCTGGTGTGTCAGGAGCGTTCTGGTCTGGAAGAGGAGGTCCGCCCCAGCTAGTACCGCGAGTTGCCCAGTACGGGTCAACCGCCGCAACATCCGCAGGAGGAAGTCCTGGAGCTTCGTGATAGGCGGGAGCTCACTGTCCCCAGCCTCCTTCGGTTGTGGTTCCCCAGCTGCCTCCAGCGACAACGCCTGCTTCTGTTGTGGTGGTGGCTCCGCCTTCTTCTGGTGACGCGGTGGCGCCCCATCCGCTTGCGGCAGGTTCTTCGGGCGTCAGAATTTCTCCCCATGGGCCGGTTGCGGGGCCGGGACTCCCCCAGCCAGTTGCTGGAGTTGTTGTGTTTTCTCCGGTGTCCGGTTCTGCAATTGCTGACTTCCCACTGTCCTCCTCTTCTTCCATTGTTGCAGGTCCAGTATCGCCTGGATTAGAGGTTGAGGCAGTTGGGACAATGCGCAGTCGCAGAAGACCATCGGAGGCGGGCCGTTCAAGATCCATCTCCTCTGGGTGTGACCCAGTCATCCACTCCGTGGGAGTTGTCTTCAGAAGAAGCGTTCTTTCAGAATCGCCAGTGGTGCCTTGAGCCGAGAAGTTCAAGACGAAGACACCGTCATCATCGTCAGCCTTGCTGATGTAAGTGTTTTTATAATAGAGCTCAAAGGTCTTGTCTTGGCAGTTGCTGCGAATGTCGCATATGCTTTGAGTTGCTGATGAACCTCGGTGACACCACCATGTGTTGTCCGCAGCAGCTATCGAGATACCAGGTGTTGTAGTTTTCGCGATTTCGTCGTGCGATCCCGGCGATTTTTGAAGTGACGACGCGGTCGAAGTCTCCGGTGTACGGCGAGAGGTCGATGTATCGCCTCGCGGAAATGCTAGGAGGAGACTCCGGGGTTGGTGGAGGCAACTCAAAGTCAGGTGGGATGTTCTTTGGACGATTAACCCAGCTGTGGATGGTGGGATCGCTTGTTGAAAAGTAGGCAAAAGTAGGGCCTAGGCTTAGTAGCCTAGGCCAAGGGGAGTCGAGGTGGTTTGTGCCAAGGAGAGAGAAATGGGAATGGTGTTCACTATAGCACTAGGGTACATATAGCAAACAAAGAGGTGCACCACCTATAAAGCTAATATCTACACTACAGCTAGAACTACATGCAGGTATAAGAATATAATTCTGACATCCCCCTGTAACTGCATGCAGGAATCGCTAAGTGCAGAACACAATCTGCAGAGGTACACCACAGACAGAGAAAACAGCAACAGCAGGTAAAGCAGCAAAGGGGCAGGCACTCCTGCCACCCCTTTACTCTCCTCCCCCCCCCCCCCCCCACCTCAGAGGGACGGGGGCTGATTGGTCTCAAAATGCTCCATTCTTTCCATGCTGCTCCCCTTCAGTCGCTCTAGTGAAGAACACTAATTTCTCCCGTTTGTTGTTCTTCTCCTTGTACAGATAAATCTACTTCTGCTCGGAGTGAAGCGTGGCGCACAAAGCGGACTCGGAAATGGTTGCTCGAGCGCGGAGTAACGACTGGCATTGACGCCAATCGGGTCCAAGGCCGGAAAGAACCATGGAGACGAACATGTCGTCGGGAACGGTTCCGCCGCACTTATTAATGTGGTCGCGCGGATTGCGGCACCGATTGATATACAATCCCACTTTCTCCCCTTGTTGCATTTTAACCGATGTAGGTTGGCTGAGTAGGCGACTCATTGTAGCGGGATCTGTTGCCATGTATGAGTTGCGCAAGTGCTCCCAAGAAGCGTACGCGGGTGCCCACTCTGACTTATAGGAGCGAATGCCAAGCTGCTCGGAGGGGGAGAGGTTCCGGAGAAGAGTGGTGTACGCGAGAAGAGACTCGTGATAGTACTGGTTCTTCTCTTTGATGGTGCTTTCCGTCGGAAACGGCAAGCTTCCACGTAGTACATCTAAATTTTGTGCAGTTGTCGCAAGGAGCTCGAACTCGAAGCTCCATGTGTAGAAGTCTTTGCCATCGAAAGGAACTTACGTCTTCAGCATTGAAGTCAGAACGAACTTTGTTTGCATTGTCGCAATTGCTTCTGACTGTGTGCGATTTTGACTGTCTTGCGCAGGAGCTGAAGCTTGACGATTGTCAAAGGTAAATGACCTCTCGGAGTTGACGCGGCGGTCTTCTCCAGAGAGAGGGAATCCATCAACTCCTCGTGCGTAGCTCGAGCCATCGATGCTCATGGCTTGATGGCTCTCAAGGGCGTTGATGCGAGCGACTATCCGCTCAACGAGAGCGGCGCTGACGGAAGTCACCGCTGATGGCGCATTAGTCGTTGCTGCTGGTGGGCCCGGAGAATCTGGAGTGGCTTTTCCTTCGGGAGCCATAGTGATGCAGAGTTGTAATGGTTTTTAATGAATAATTTATAAAGAGGTTGTTCTAGGAAGAACAAGAACTTGGTATGCCTTATAATCCACTCTAGCTCTCATACCATGCTGTTATAACTGAAGGATCGTAGCGGATAGGATAAGTATGAGGGAAGACAATGAAGTCTATGTATTGACCTTGTTAATAAAGTTGTTAGAGAACAAGATGATTATAAGATAGGAGTACAAGGGTAGAAATAGCAATCCTAGATAGCCATGTACTCCGAGGGGTACATTCCCTTGTCTCTGCGGAGTACAAGGGTATAAATAGGAATCCTAGATGCGTTGCTTCGTTATGAAGTGACGCGAGAATGGGGATCCTTCGGGAATGTTACTATAACCTTTCAGTTATTCCAGCAGTGTTTAAATATGTGTGAACTGGAGTATATGCAAAGCGTGCGACCCCACTAATCCGCATTTGTTCGATTACAATCCCCTTCGATTCTAAACCAAGGTTCTGTGGTTGTTTTTTGGCAAGTAGTGATTCTCTTTATGACTGTAGTGTATTCGTCTATGGATGTTGATGTTGTTGCTGCTGCCGCCTAAAGGCACGTCACCTCGAAATTGGGGTACTGCGGGTCCGTGCCAGCCTGTCTGAGCCTTACAGAGCTGGTGAAGCAGAAAGCCATCACACAAGCCTCGTGCTGTGGTTTGTTACGAGTGGCTGACACCTCCAAGGAAGATGATGACAGGAGAAAATGTATACCCTGGCACCGATTAGATTCGGAGGAAGCTTCTTCGCTAATTTCTTCGTGTCGGTGCCTCTGTCAGGAAAATTCCCTTGCTTCGTGGCTCAAGCAATTAAAAACCTGAGAATGAGAGGGTGATGCGCCATATAGACCACTGTAAGATTGACGTGGTTTAAAATGGGAGATAGATTATTAATTGCAGTATCCTGCCTTTTCGGAGAGAAGCCTGTATGAAAGGATAGAGGTACATGCAGTATAACTGCCCAAACATTTATATTAATATGATTGAAGGGATTACACTACTCCATGGTTTCGTAATTGGTTGGCACTGAAAAGGTTTGGCTACATAAAGCGACTTGCAGATTTGGTTCGTTTGAACAGAATCCAGGATTCAATTTGTATTAACAGCACATGATGTGCGAAATACTCTGATTGGTCTAAGATGACACATGGACACATTCCGCTGGCGTAGCTTCTCTTGCCAGCTCCCGACGTTGCCTCGCTGGATCAAAATGATGAGGGTTGCCTTTTCGATGTCATGTTGGCGGTTCATGTGGTAGGACGAGTCGTTCATCCATCCCGTTCCTACCCAAGCGCTGCTGACTAAGGGGCACTCTCAGCAAGGCTGGTCGCGCACGGCGGTTGCGGTTTAGTCCTTGATTTCCTCATGCGGGCAGTGCCACCGCCACCAGCGAGGCAAGGTCGTCCGCTACCGCGCAATGTGGCGGTGACCTTCCAGTTTGCCCCTGCTCTTCCGCCCCCCCATTCCGTCTCCCTCACCAATTCCCTGATCCAACCAACCAATATATTGCACTTGGTAGTAACACCGGTTCGAGGGAATGAAGTGAATTGTTGGGACGAGTGTGGCCCCGCCGTGTCGTCTTATCCGCGGCAGCTGGGGGGGGGTCTGTAAAATACTAGGCTGCCCTCACTTTTCCGCGTGAATCGTAGCTGCCACATCATCACTGCCCACGTGAATCCCCCGTCTGCTTGCCATTCCGCCCGTACTGGATTGAGTGAAAAGGCAAGAGAACTGCTTTCTCGCCCAGGCATATTCTGGAGCACGTGCTGCTCTACTAGTTCTTTTACGTAAGGCAAACAGCAGCAGACACAACTCAGCAACGGAAACAGGCCAATCTATCAGCTGAGCACTCGAGCTGATCAAACCTAAACTGTCACTTCTAGGTTGTCAACTATGTGTCAGCCTAAGTTTTTCCCAGAGCCAGAGGCCCCTCTTGTGGGTTATGGAAGCAGGGTAAGCTTCACGTTGCACGGCTAAGTCCGTTGAGGTTGCTGTGCTCCGTGGCTCATGGTCTGACAAACCTATCCTCCTGTGCAGGTCCGGCTTCCGACGGGCAACCGCTCGCGAACCATTTCCCTGCAGGAGCTCATGGAGCATTTTCACCTTCCGATAAACGAAGCTGCTTGCAAGGTACGCACAAAATTCCTGACATCATTGTTACAATCTTTATTACATCGGCTGGAACTGATTTAGTTCCTTCTGCCATTGTTTTTTGCAGTTGGGCGTTTGTGTCACCGTCTTGAAGCAGCAATGTCGTGAACACGGCATCCAGAGGTGGCCGTTTCGGAAGGTTCGCAAGCTCGACAACATGCTTCACGCTTTAGAAAATTCCACACCACCCGAGCGACTGCGGCCGTTCGCGCTTACGAACGGGGAAGAAGAGGTGAGACACGCTAGGCGCTCTATCCATGCCGTTTGTGTTTGATGTTGTTGAGACGTTCATTCTGCTTTTCAACGCTCGCTCACTGGACAACAATCTGTTCGCAATATTTTTTTTCCTTGCAGAGAAAACGGAAGATCGATACTGTGAAGGGAGCGCTTTGTCAGCTTCTTGTAGACCCAAACTCGGCTGCTCACCTGAAGATAGGAAAGCTGAAGGGCACCAAATTAAAGGAGGCTGGTACAACAGACTGCCCATCAGCCGTTTCTCCATCATCATCGCACGAGATGTCTTCTTGTCAAGCGAAATCTGCCAGGAGCGAGGCGGAGGTGTTGGCGAAGCCAATTGCATTTTATGGCTTCGAGAAGAGTTCGGAAGAGAAAGTGCTTGAATCAGGGACAGATCAAGGGCCGGTCGAGCTTGATCTGCTCTCCCGTGTGGGTTGCAACGAAGAATCGGAAATCGTGAGCGCGAGCAAGACCAGCAGTGCAAATGCTATTTCAGGAATTACTGACGCTCCAGCAGTAACAACGCCAGGCATTTCTTCAGCTCAAGGCCATCATGGATCTGTGGTACAGCTGCTTCAATCATACGAGACTGGTCAGCCTGCTTTGAAAAGACCAAGGGTTGCTTCTGTCGAACCTACTGTTACTCTGCCAGTAGTAGCCAGAGATTTTCAGGCTGCTCCAGTTCCTGCGATGCCAGTAAGCCCCTGGCCGCTCATCCAGGGTTTTCCGACAGGCCTCGTCTCCCTACCGTTTTTGGTAGCAGGCCAACCACCAGTAGCCTTCAATCCTGCGGCGGCTGGTTTTATGGCATGCAGACCTTGTCCCCCTCGTGTTTCCCTATTCTAGAGTTTCTTTGCTACTGCTTTTGACCACGTGACTAGCCGGTGGTCTCTATCCCCTTCTAATAAATATGGAGGTGTGCACCGTTGTTAGTGCTTGTATATGGATCTTGAAGAATGAAGTATGCTTGTTGAATGCTTCCTGACTAAAGATTTCGATACTGAAATAGTTGAAGTCGTCGCAACATGAATATTCAAGGATTTCAGAGGTTCCCCAGTTGTACAGCGGGTTGCAATGCGGTGCCGAACTAAATGGTGTCAGTTTTCAGGCAAACCTTTCTCTCGTGCGAGTGTGAAATGAGTCTGCCTGCTTGGCTACCTGCTGGATTTGCTCGCCACTGCTGATCATGTAGCCCTGGCCTGGCCTAAGTGCTGCAAACAAGCATCGATTTCGCCGCGCGCCGCAGATCGACAGTCAGTTCCGCACGGACAGAGGAATTAAAACAGCTAGAGCTAATGATAATCGACAGACTAGACAGACCATCACTGTTGAGCACCATTAGAATTCGGTTCGGGACAAATTCGAACTACTGAGACCAGGCCACCAGGGAATGCAACAGCAAGTTTATCGAATGGAGCTGTGACAGTCTAGACTGAAATGCGGTAGTTCAAGAGTATAGCAGCGATGCGGGCTGTCCGATTCCGTGACCAGGCACGGTAGGCTCGCCTGCCGCTTACGAACAGAGGATCGGTTCGGCGCCATTCCCGCCGAGATGATGTACGCAGCATCCCACACGTCTCCTGGTCCGCCGCGTCGTCCACTTCCCGTCCCGTCATCGTCTCCGTCTCCGTCAGGATCGACGGCATCGGCGGGCGATGGCCGGTTCGTCCCGAACCCGTTCCAGTACAATGCGCGCGTGGCGTCGGCGCTGGTGCCGTGCGTGCTAGTCCTGCTGGGCGCGGGAGGGCCGGTGGTCGTTGGCACGCTGGTAGCGGGGCTCATGCTCTCGTACGTGCTCGACGCGCTGCAGCTCAAAACCGCCGCGTTCGTCGCCATCTGGACGTCCTTCTTCTCCACCGCCGCCGCCATCGCGTTCTCCGGAGTCGGCTTCGCGCCGCACGTGCCGGTGCCGCTCTCGCTGCTCGTGCTACTCTCCTCCGTGAACCTCGTGTTTCTGTGCGGCGTGTGGGTGTCGCTGCAGTTCCGATGGCTGCATCTCGAGCACCCCTTCGTCGTCCTCACACTCGAGCGACTCCTCTTCGCTTGCACACCCATCACCGCCGTCGCCATAGTCATCTGGGGGCTAGTCGCGTCCGTGGGGATCGTGTACGCGCCTTATTACCTCGTGCCTGTGCTCTTCGCGCTCTTCTGGCTCTTCTCCCTCCCCGCTCCCTCCTCCTTCCGCGCCGCGAAGCACCATCCGCGGCTCCGCGCGAAGGAATCTGACGACGTGTTCATTCTCGGGTCGCTGGAGAGCGCGATTCACGCGGCCGTGCTGCTGTTCCTGCCGCTGGGCTTCCACGTGGCGGTGCATCGCAACCGTTGGATAGAATCAGCGGGTGATATCTGCGACGATCTGCTGCTCTTCTTCCTGCCCGTGCTCTTCCTGCTCGTCGCGTCCACCCGCGGCGCGCTGCACTGGGTCGTTCGTGACCATTCCAAGCTGCAACACGTGCGTAGCACGTGGATGACACGTGGGAGGGGATGTAGGCACGTGGGAGGGACGTGCAAGGGACGTGCGAGGGACACGGGTGCAGGGGTGGTGAGGGGAGTGTGAAGGGGCTGAAGGGCTTGCTTGATTGATGGGGGGCGGATGGCTGGTAGGGGTCTGGTCTGGATGCACTGCCTCCCAGCGCTCTCGTCTGGATCCCACCCTGGTATAAGGGGTCATGAGGGGAGTGTGAAGGGACTGAAGGGCTTGATTGGTGGTTAACGAAGGGCTGGTTGGGGTCTGGATGTACTGTCTCCCAGCGCTCTGGTCTGCATCCCGTCCACCTGGCTGCCCTACGCTTTTCCAGATACCAACGTCTTTTGTTCTCCCCATCATTCTCCCCTTCCTGCCACCCTTCCTGCCCCACCACCTGTTGCCCCTCCTACTCCCCTCCCTGCTCCCCCTCCTCCCCCTCATGCTCCTATCCTGCCCCCCCTCCTGCCCCCCCTCCTGCCCCCCCTCCTGCCCCCCCTCCTGTCCCCCCGCCTGCCCTCCACACTGCCCCCCCAGGTGCGTGTGGTGAACGGAGCATTCGCGCTGGCAGTGGTGCTGGTGTGCGGGGAGGTGCGGGTCATCTTCCCGTCCTTCGCGCACTACATCCACTTCCCGCCGCCCCTCAACTATCTCCTCGTCTCGCTCGCCCTCTTCGGCCTCGCCTTTGGCTTCGCTGCACACCTGCTGGGGCTTGTCACAGGGCTCGTGGGCACGTCCGTGCTCATGACTGTGCTGCTCGTCTCTGCTGTAGCTGGGTCCCTCGTTCTCGGCATGCCTCTCACTGTGAGTCTCTGAGTTTTGACACGTGCTGTAAGTCACTGTGAGTCTGAAAACGTGCTGGGGTTCATCAATGCGAGTCTCTGAGGCATCTCAATGTGCTGTCACTGCTTGTACGGTGTACCGTGCAAGTGCCCATGCTGCTTTGCCCCCCTGTCACTCACCATCCCTTTGCCCCCTTTGTCCCATCACCCCCATTCTCTCCTCTCAATCTGTCTCCCTCATTCCCCAACCCCTCCCCGCACCTCCTCCCCTTACCCCCTACAACTCCCCCCATTTTCATCCTCCCCTCCCACCAGATGCTCCCAGCGCCCGCCATAGCAGCAGTGTACCTCGCCTTCCACTCCTCGCACTCCCTGTCGTCCCCCACTCTGTTTCTCTCACCCTCTCACTTCCCCTTCTCCCTTCCCACTTCCCTCCCTCCCATCACTTTCCCCCCACCAGATGCTCCCAGCGCCCGCCATAGCAGCAGTGTACCTCGCCCACTTCCACTCCTCGCGCTCCCTGTCGTCCCCCACTCTGCTTCTCTCACCCCCTCACTTCCCCTTCTCCCTTCCCACTTCCCTCCCTCCCATCACTTTCCCCCCACCAGATGCTCCCAGCGCCCGCCATAGCAGCAGTGTACCTGGCCCACTTCCACTCCTCACGCTCCCTCACCTCCTACCTCATATTCGCAGCAGCAGCAGCCATCGCAGCCACCTGGTTCGTGCTCGACCACTTCTTCTTCCTCGCCCTCTCCGTCGCCGGCGTGCCTCTCCGCTCCATCTGCCAGGGGATGCTCGCTGCGCTGCTGCTCGCGCTGCTCGTGCCCGCCGCCACGCTGCTGCATCGGCCGCAGAGGGTTGCAGGAGTGCTGGTTGTGCTGCAGGCGCTGCTGTTCGCATGGTGAGTGCGCGTGTGTGGAGTCTGAAAGGCTTGTGGCTTTCCACCTGGGTTAACGGCAAAGGCAGGAAGCACCTCGCACGCATTGTATCCCTCTCCTCTGTCTGCCTGCCTGTTCCTGTCTGATCTCCTCTCCCTCGCCTCATCTCTCTCCCACGCCTCAATCTCCCAAAGTCCTTCCTCCCACGCTGCCCTCTCCCACATTCCCCTTTCCCACACCATCATCTCCCCGTCATGCACCCTCCTCCTCCACACAGGGTGTGTATCCAAACTTCCTTGTGGTAACCACCTCGGTGGCAGGGCTGGCAGCGGTGTAGCGGCTGCAAGCGAAGCACAAGATAGCCGACTTTTACGACGTCTCAAAAACCTTCCATGCCCCTTTTTCCCACCCCCCAGGCTGGAGAGTCTGCTCTATAACGGGGATGGGCGGGCGGAGGAGGGCGTGTATCCGAGCTTCCTGGTGGTAACCACCACTGTGGCAGGGCTGGCAGCAGTGCAGCGGCTACACGCGGAGCACAAGATAGGCGCGGTGGCGGAGTGGGTGGGGTCGTGCGTGTACCTGGCGAAGCTCCCTATGCTCGCTGTGTCATCTCCTGGTGCCACCTTCTCCTCCCTGCTGCTGCTGCTCGCTGTCACTCCGCCCTTCTTCCTCTACCGGTGAGAAGGGGCTGTTCTTGTGTCATTCCTGTCCCCCTGTCTCCTCCTCATCTCCTCCCTCCTCTCGTGGCTTGCATGTCCCGTCCCCCACTCGCATGGAGTAGTGGCAGCAGCAGAGACCAACTCGCTGCATGCGTTTTTCTCTGTGCTAACAAACTCACAACGATCCCCCTTGCTCGTCCTTCCCCCGCAGGGACAAGGCCCATGCGCGCTCGCGCATGCGCCCGGGGGTGGCAGTGGCGCATGCAGCAGCGGCAGTGGCAGCAGTGGTGCACGCGCGCTTCATGCTATTCGACATTGCCATGTCCCTCACCGGCCACCGCCCCTCCCATGCTCTGCTCATTGGCGCCCTGCTGCTCGCTGCCATTGCTGCGTGCCTGCCCATCCTCCTCCTCCACTTCCCACACTCCATGGTGAGTTGTGAGCATACATGCAGCAGCAGTGGTGCTCGGTCGATTCATGCTCTTTGACATAGCGGTCTCTCTCACCGGTCACCACCCTTCCAACACTCTGCTCATTGGCGCTCTGCTGCTCGCTGCCATTGCCGCCTGCCTGCCCATCCTCCTGCTGCACTTTCCCCACTCCATGGTGAGATGTGAGCATACATGCAGCAGCAGTGGTCATGCTATACGACATAGCAGTCTCTCTCACCGGCCACCGCCCCTCCCATGCGCTGCTCATCGGCGCCATGCTGCTCGCTGCCATTGCTGCCTGCCTGCCCATCCTCCTCCTCCACCTTCCCCACTCCATGGTGAGTAGTGAACGCAGGCCACACGCCTCGCTCCGCATGGTACATACCGCTCTGTGCCTATTCAGCATTCACATGCACACCACCCTCAATCGCCCACACTCTTCTTTCCTTCCCCTGCCACTCCATCCGTTGCTTGACACCACATTCTCAACCCAGATTACATGCACCGTCTCTCATCCCTCCCATCCGCCCCCCTTTCCTGCATTCATCCATCGCCTTCACTCTCTCCCACTCACAACACCCTCTTTCCCTTTCACCCACTTCCCCATCCCCACCCCTCCCTCACATCTCTCTCCCCACTTCTCTCAGTCTGCGAGGCGCGCAGCAGCGCTGGCAGCAGCAGGAGCAGCGCTCTTCATGTGCCTGCAACCCCCACTCCCCCCCGCATGGCGCACACTGTGGGACTCAGCCCACTTCCCTGATGAGGACGACCCAGACGACTCCACCATCTACGGCCAGCCCACCCACGGCCCCCTCTGGCTCTATCTGCTCGCCCACCTCTCACCTGCATTCTGAATTTCCCCTCCTTGTCCCTTTCCCCCTCACCCTTCTCCTCCGCCTCCCCTTGCCCCGCCCCCCGGCCCCCCCACCTCCCCAGTCCGCAAGGCGCGCAGCAGCGCTCGCAGCAGTGGGCGCTGCACTCTTCATGTGCCTGCAACCCCCTCTCCCCCCCGCATGGCGCACGCTGTGGGACTCGGCACACTTCCCCGATGAGGACGATCCAGACGACTCCACCATCTACGCCCTCCCCACGCACGGCCCCCTCTGGCCTGCGTGGCTGCTCCTCTCCCTCATCCTCTCCGGCCTAGCAGCCTTCCTCCGCGCGATACCCATAGGGGAGGTGGAGGCAGTGCGGGTGGGGTACGCAGTAGGCATGGGTGTGGCTACTGGTGTGTATCTGCAGGCAGAGTTTTTCCTCTTCCTGCCGCTGCTGCCCCGCGCGCTGCTCTTCCTGGCGGCCATAGCAGGGGCGCTGTTTCTCGTGCTGGCTCATCGGCCGCCCTCGTGGATTCCGCCCCACTCGCCGCTGCTGCCGGGGCTGTTTGCGCTGCAGGCAGCGCTGCTGCCGCTGACGTACCTGGCTGTGGGGAGGGCGGCACTGGTGGAGGTGCAGGGGGAGGGGGAGGCGGGCCAGGAGTATGACTTGTATGATGACACGCGCAGACAGGTGAGGGGTTCATGAGGGGTTGGGTGGGCAGGTGGGTGTGATGGTGGGGCTGCACCAGTGAGATGGGCATTTTGGATGGTTTGGACGGTGGTTTGGGGTGGCTGGGTGAGAAGCGTAGCGTGCACAGGGTGTGAGTGTGCATAGGGGCAATCAGCAAGATGTCATGTGCATGTGAGGGTGAGCGTGTGAGAGGGCTGTAAACTATGTCAGTGCATGTGCCGCACCTCACAACAGCCCGTCGCTTCCCCTTCCCCATCACCCTCGTATTCCCCATCACCCTCCCCCTTCTTCCCCATCACCCCGCCCCCCCACTCCCCCACCCCCCTTCCTTCCCCATCACCCTACTTCTCCCCATTGCCCTCTTCCCCCCCCACTCAGGCAGCGCACACAGCACTAATGGGCATCTACTGTGTCTACTTCCTGCTCGCCGCTCTCCTCATCAACCTCAACCTCTCGCCCCGCCCCTCCACCGCCTCCTCTCTCTCTTCCTCCTCTGACGGTAGTGGCCTTTCATCTGCTGCTAACGGCGCCTCTGCGCTGCCCCAGACCTCGCCCTTCGCCCCCAAGCACCGATCCTTCCAGGTACTCGGGCCCAACGCACTGCCTGCCTCTTCTGCATCCTCCTCCCTCTCCCTCCTTCAAACATGCAACTTAGAATCCTTAGCCTCACGCCATCTCTCACACCGCTCCCTCCCTAACTTGTACCGCCATCTCCCTCCCCTCACTCCCATTCCGAGTCTCTTGCCCCTCTTCCTCAGCACTGGGAGGGAGACGAACCTGCTAACAGCTTTCACCTTACGGCCCTTCCCTTCCTTGTCGTCCTCTTGCTGTCTTTGCCCGTACCCTTCCCTGTCTCATGCACCCACTTTCCCTGTCTGCTACCGCATCCTCTCCATCCTCTTCCCGTCCCCCCACCTCCCCCCAGCAGCGGCACATGGGTGTGCTAGCGACCTTCACCTCGCGCTCTTAATGGATGCCCCTGGATCACCATCCTTGTCCTCATCCTCTCCATCCCCCCTTTCGCCCACCACCCCCAAACCAGCCGCGGCACATGGGTCTACTAGAGACCTTGACCTCGCGCTCTTAATGGATGCCCCTGGATCACCATCCTTGTCCTCATCCTCTCCATCCCCCCTTTCGCCCACCACCCCCAAACCAGCAGCGGCACATGGGTCTACTAGAGACCTTGACCTCGCGCTCTTAATGGATGCCCCTGGATCACCATCCTTGTCCTCATCCTCTCCATCCCCCCTTTCGCCCACCACCCCCAAACCAGCCGCGGCACATGGGTCTACTAGAGACCTTGACCTCGCGCTCTTAATGGATGCCCCTGGATCACCATCCTTGTCCTCATCCTCTCCATCCCCCCTTTCGCCCACCACCCCCAAACCAGCAGCGGCACATGGGTCTACTAGAGACCTTCACCTCGCGCTCTTCATGGATGCCCCTAGTGGGCAACGCAGCAACGCTCGTCTCCTTCCTGCTCGCGCTCTCCCTCCTCACCACCCTGGCGCAGCACGACAGCGACCAACGGGCAATCTTCCTCATCGCACCCATCCTCCTGCTCCTCAACCCCCACCTCTCCTTCCCCTCCGCCTTCTCCCACCGCCGCCGCTACTTCCCGCTCACCCTTGCCTGCTCCGCCTACCTAATTCTCTCAGTGCTGGTAACCGTTACGGCTGAAGCAGCCACGGCGGTGTATTACTGGGGGTGGAGCTGGGTAACGCTGGGTTACAATGTAACGCAGCTGGCATGGACGGTGGGCATGGTGCTGCTGTGTGTGCCCATGCACATGCTCTTTAACCTATTCATGTGGGACAACGTACGAAGGAGCGAGTACTTGCTGTTGCTGCTCGCACCGATGTGTGTGCCAGCAGTGGTGCTGCCAGGGGAGATGCCTGTGGTGCGGGTGGTGGGGGTGCTGGGGCTGATATATGCGTTCCTGCAGCTACTCATCTCACGACACATACGCGTTGCTGGCTTGAGACTAATCTAGTCGGCTGTGAAGCCGCTTCTTTGCTCTGACCGCTGGTATGGTAAGGCATCGTGTTTTTGCGGCATGTACCTTCCCAGCCTAATTATATTGACCTCCCTTGCAGCTATAAACCATATGTTTAGCTATCAAGATACCCAAGATAGACACAGCTATCCATACATATTTATTTCTTAGGCAAGTCAGATTCTGTACAAGGTGCATATGTTCCCAGTCCACAACCCACGGATCTCTGCATAAACTCAAGCTGCTACTACAGCCCCACTGGAAGCCGTTAAGCAGCGGGTGCGCCTGCAGCTTTTCATCGTGCGCCAGGCAGGAGCACCTCTCCTCACCACACTGATTTGCCGTGATCACCTCACCCCATACAACATGCCCTAGCACCCCCCTAGCTGCATTTGACCTACTAGAGCCCCACGGGCAGGTGCTGGCCGGCTGTTACTCTATGGAGCTGGAAGCCATAGTCGAGCAAGGGGTGCGCCTCCAGCTTGCCATCATGCTCCCGGCAGAAGCACCTCTCCTCACCACACTGCTTTGCCATAGCCCCGTCACCCCGTATGCCCTAGCCACCCCCTTGCTTTCGACCTAGAGCCCCACAGGCAGGTGCTGCCCGGCCGCTACTCTATCAAGCTGGAAGCCATAGTCCAGCAGTGGGTGCGCCTCCAGCTTGCCATCGTGCACCAGGCAGAACTCTGGCAGGTCCACTTGGTCCTCCCGTATCTGCTCCCACAGAAACTCCACCCGGCTCACAAATGCCACACGGGAATACAAGCTGGAGGGGAGGGGGGTGGTGGTGGTGGGAGAGCAGGGAAGGAGGAATGGAGGCAGGCAAACTTCTGGCAGGTCTACCTGGTCTTCCTGTATGTGCTCCCATAGGAACTCCACTCGACACACGAATGCCACTCGGGAATACAGGCTGGGGGTGGTGGGAAGGAGGGGGGGAGTGAGGGATGGAGATGTGGGTGCAGCTTGAGATGGCATGCCGAGATGCAGGCAGAACTGAGGCAGGTCCACCTGCTCCTTCCGTATGTGCTCCCATAGGAACTCCACCTGGCTCACACACACCAGAGGGGGCAAGAAGGGAGGGTGGTCGGATGATGAATTTGATCTCAAAAGGTGTATGTGTGTATGCGTGTGAGTGAGTGCGAGTGAGTATGTGCGTGCCGGCATTAGGAATGGCAAACCATATCTTTATACAGGCAATGGTGTGGTGACTCAGAGACTACTCTCCCCCCCCTTTCCCCCCTCTCCTCGTCTTACTTGTCGCTCAAGCCCCCCCTGCATACCCCTCCCCCCTCACCTGTCACTCAGCCACGGGGACAGCAACCAGAGCCCGAGCCTAAGAGACAGGCTCGGGTGTAGGATGTACACCGCACCGACCCTCTGCTGCAGGCTCGGAGGGAGGCCTTGGAAAATGTCTCGGAAGGCGAGGAGCGGGTTGTCGTTGAGAGATTCGCACTCCGTGTGGATGTACAGGATGCTGACGTGGCGGTCGGGGCCGGCCAATGAGAAAAGCTCGTGTAGCTTATAATGAATGTAGCTCTCTACATGGTCTGTGGGGAAGACGTTGGCTGTTAGGGGGGATGATGGGGGGGATGATGGGGGGGATGATGGGGGGGGGAGGAAGGTGGGAAAGCAGGGAAGGAAAGAGGGGTGTATATGGGTTGAAGGCGGAGATTGGAGGGGTTGACTGGGGAAGGGAGCGGAGAGGCTAGTAGGGAGGGGGGGCGGGGGGAGGCAGCGAGTGGTTGGTTGTCACCTGGGAGGTACTTGCCGACGATTCTCACGACGATGCGCCCCTCCACGTCCTCGCCCTCGTCCTCCCAGAACTGCGAGGAGCAATGCGACAGCGGCGCACGATAAGACAACAGCTCAGTCTCACCATGGCAGCACGAAACGATGGAGAGATAGGAAGATGGGATGATGAACGGTGATAACCGGGGAAAGGGACCGGGGGAGGGGATGAAGGCGCGGGGGAAGGGAACGACGCTGGGGCAGGCGACGAGGCGGAGCGTAGGCGCGGAGAGACAGAGCCGCGTGCGCGCTGGCTGAGTCGTGAGCGGGAGGTACGCGCGGAAGGACGCATGGCGCAGCAGAAAGCGGAGACGGCAGGGCGGCGCAACGAGGAGCGGCAACGACTGGGACGAGCAGCGAAGAGGGGAGATTGGCTGAGAAAGGATGAGCGACGGGGAAGGGCGAGGGGACGGGAGAAGGGAAGGGCATGCGTGGCAGTAGCAGACGCGAAGGCGCGAGGAACCTACGCGCGTCTCTTCAATGTCCGAAAAGTCCTCCTCGGGCACGAGGGCCGCCGCTTCGGGCGGCGTGATCGCCGCGAGCTGCGCGCATGTCGGTCGCGCATCGGACGAGGCGGTGGCGATAGATTCGGTGGTGGCCGCTGACTGCACTACTCGCACCTCCATGGCTCGTCGGGACGCGTAAAAGCGAGTCCGGCGAGGTGCCTCTCGGGTGATGCGAGGGGACTGGCGCGGGAAGGAAAGGGACTGGACTGGACGCGACAGGACGGGCACAGGACGTCAGCAAGAAATAACGTGATGGTTATCCGCGGTTAGTGGAGCTTTGGTGTTCTGAAAGCTACTTTGCTCACACTCTTACGTGCGATTGCTATAGCTGTAACGAGTTCGCACTGCAATGGTGAGGTCCTTCCATTTTCGCGTTTACGAGTTACCTGTGAAAGAGTTTCGCACGGGACATCCGCTGCCAGGGTCGCTTGGCGAGGATTCCGTTTCGTGGCAGCACATCGGCCTCACACAAATGTCGCCAAATCGGCTTTCCACTGCCACGCAGACCATCACCACGTGGCGTTCCCAATCTCTGACGTCGCCTGTCCAGAAGTGGCGAAGAGATCTCCAATCAAGCCGAGGCTCTGAGCGACTGACGTGGATTCCACAGGTTCGCTCAGGCGTGGCAGTCGGCTCCTCACGAAGCTGCCGCCATTCAATCTACCTCGCAAGACTTGCGGTTCGAGAAACTACGGTGCCGAGGTATGGATATAGGGTTCCGTGCGGTAACTATTATTTGACTCTGACTCCAGTTTTTTCCCAGCCCACACATGTCATCCAGCTGAGTACATTTCTCACCTAATTCAGTAACCACAGTAGCTTCACAGCAACCAGCACAGATCTTTGTCTCTCACATCTGAAATTCCTCGGCTGCGTCTCCTGCTGCTGCTGCTGCCGTCGCCATCGCTCCTTCGCACATCCGTCGCCACGTGTGCCTTCGCACATCCCGCGCATTCCTCGCAGCCTACAGTCACCTCGCGAATCCAGCGTGTTGCTACCGGCTGCAGTAGACTTGATTTGGAAGTCGGACGAATCGGGACGCATCACGCGCGAATTACGGTCATCTCGAACGCGTTCTAAAAATCACCCGCGATCATGGCGACGACGGCGCTCTCCACTCTGCCGCCCGGCGCTTCGAGCCGCGCCTTAATGACGAGCGGCTCGAGCAACCTCGCGTCGAAACAGAGCGTTCAGGTAGATACGCGCGACCAACCAGAGCCCAGCGCCCTCCACTTGTTCATTGGTGATATGTTTCTTCGCTTCCCGCTTCCCTCACTTCCTAGGCCCTCAGCTGACCACGTGTCGCTATCCCTACCCTTATCTCTGCCCCTCCCCTGCCCCCCTCCCCTGCCCCCCTCCCCCCACCAGCATCTCCTGCTGCCCCAGGGCGCGCGCATTGCTCGGCTCGCTCTGACGGCCCATGCCAGGTGAGACGCGGGGTGATGCTGTGCTGGTTCCAGTAAGCATCTCGTAGCAGACCGCCCGCCCGCTACCGCGCATTGCCTCTCCGCTCTCGTCGTTTTGCCGTCCCTCTGCTGCTCTCCTCGCTGCCTCTCCACCTTTCTCCCTCTCCCCCTTCGACTCCCCCCCCTGCGCGTAACTCTTATCCCTGTCGGCCGCATTCCGCTCGTTCCCCCTCGACTCTCCGCCGCCCACCGAGCCTCCTTCCCTGCGATCAGCCCTACAAACTCTCGTTTTCTGATTCTCCTCCTGCTTTCCCCACCAATCAGCGGCATTGCCGCGTCAATGTCAACCGTATTGACGTCAGCGGCGGTGGTGGAGGCGGAGGGGGAGGCGCAAGCGCCGGAGGTGGCGCAGGCGCAAGTCCGCAAGGGGCGGGGGAAGTCAGGCGGGCGGCAGAGAGTGCAGCGGCGGAAGGGGGGCGATGGAGGGGAGGTAGACGGCGAGGTAAGACCGCGGCCGTGGGTGATGGTGGGTGGGGCGTGGGCGCAATGGGTAAGGCTGTCTCTTATGGGTGGGGGGCCCCGAGTGGTTGAATGACTAAAGCGGGGGGAATGAACAGTACATAACCCACAGAGGGGACATTCACCAGGATGAAGCCGTTAACAATGAAGCCGTTAACAATGAAACCGTTAACAATGAAACCGTTAATATCACTTTGAATACTCCTCATCCCCTCATCTCGCCTCCCTCCCTCTCGCTCAATCCCCACCCGCTTCCCATCCTCGCATGGGCAGGAGGCGGCGGGCGTGCGGACGAACAAGCTGGCGTGGCTGGCGGACGAGGGCGTCATGCTCGACTCCGAGGTGCGCGAGTCATGTGATGTGCTGGGGTGGGATGCTGTCCTGTGCGGTGGGGTGCTGCTGTGTGCTGCATGGCGTGATGCTGGGCATGGCATGTTGCAGCTGCTGTGATGTGAGGCCAACGGTTGTGGCGGTAATGCATGTTTTCAATCCAAACTCCACGCGTAGAGCCGGTTGAAGCTCACTGTTAATCTCGTGAGCTTGCGCTGCCATCGCACCGTGCGACAACGATTTGAGTGCCATAGAAATCAGCATGCCCTCACTTCGTCACTCCCACCTCCCCCTCCGCCTCTCCCCCCCACGTCTCCCCCCCCCCGCCCCATCCCCCTCTCCCCCACGCGCCCCCCCCCCCCGCAGCGCACGTTAGAGCGGGTGGTGCTCGTCCGTGAGGGAGGCGCTGGGGAGATGACTGTTGATTCCCCTCCCTCCCTGTCCCCCATCTCCGTCTCCCCCTTGAGCAGCGCACGTTGGCGCGGGCGAATAGAGCCATAGCACTGTGCTCGTCCGTGAGGGAGGCGCTAGGGTGATGACTGTTGAGTCGACTCAAATATGCCCCCAACTCCCCCATCTACCCCGTCTCCCCCATCTCCCCCCCCCCCCATCAGCGCACGTTGGCGCGTGTGAATCGCGCCATAGCGCGGTGCTCGTCCGTGAGGGAGGCGCTGGGCGTGGTGGAGGAGATGAAGGCCAAGGGACTCAACGCCGCCAATGAAGGTACGCCACGTGGCACACCTGCCGGTGCCACCTGCACGGGCTGTGCTTTGGGTTTGGATGGAACAGCTGGAGTAGAGAAGGCACTGGTATGGTTGGCCGAGTTACCGCAACGATGAAACAAGGTTGATGAGAAGCACTTTTAACAAGTTGTAGCTGTAGGATGTAGGATGTAGGGAAATGGAAATCATGGACTGGAAAGAGAAGCATGTACCGTTGTGCCCACCCTCTTAGTCATCTTCCCTTTCCCCTTCCCTCTCCCCATCCCCCTGCTCACCAGGCACGTACCAGGCGCTGATAACGGTGTGCAGGAGGCAGAGGCAGGGCGAGAGGGCGCTGGTGGTGTACGCAGCGATGAAGCAGGCGGGCATGGCGCCGGGCATGCTCACCTTCAACGCACTCATCTCCTGCTGCCACCAGGCCCAGCGATTGAGGATGCTTTTCGCCTCAAGGTGCTTTTGTGTGAGGCATGTGGTGAAGGTGTGTGCGTGCGGGTGTTGCATAAGGTGCAGGCGTGTGCGTGTGGAGCACGAGGCATGCTCACCTTCAACGCCCTCATCTCCTGCTGCCACCAGGCCCAGAGATTCGAAGATGCTTTTCGACTCAAGGTGGGCGTGTTTGTGTGTGTGTGTAGAAGGAGGTGCAGGTGGGTGTGAGAGGCACGAGGTACAGGTGGTGTGTGTGAGTGTGGAGCACGAGGCATGCTCACCTTCAACGACCTCATCTCCGCTGCCACCAGGCTCAAAGATTCGAAGATGCCTTTCGCCTCAAGGTAGGTGTGATTGCGTGTGGCACGTGGTGAGGGTGTGTGGGGCATGGGGTCACTGTAGGCCACGAGGCATGCTCACCTTCAACGCGCTCATCTCCTGCTGCCACCAGGCGCCACGCTTCGAAGATGCCGCCGGGAGCAGCAGCTGGAGGTGCAGGCCACACAGAGAGACTCACAGAATTATGCAGCTACAGACACCTGTCCTGGACGCCTGTGCATTGCTCTCTCACACCCACACATGCGCGCCCTCCTCGCCTCTCACCCTCCTACCCTCCCCTCTTCCGCCCCTCCCTGTCTGCCTGTCTCCCCTGCCCACCTCTCCATCTACCCCTCCACCTGCCCCCATGCATGATGCATCAGGCGGACATGGAAGCGCAGGGCTTAAAGCCCGACGTGGTGACATACACGTCCCTCATGGCGCTCGTGGTCAAGACCGCCCCCTACCGCGGCCGCTCCTCCCCCTCCCAACGGTCAGTCCCTCCTCCTGCAGACCCATCTCACTGGTTGGCCCCTCGGTGATTAGGAGGGGAGAGTGTATCCGGTGTGTAGTGCACTCGAGCTGAGATTCCAGCTGCTTGCTCCCATCCCATCCATGAGATGTGCTCCCATCCTATCCATAAGATGTGCTCCCATCCCATCCATGAGATGTGCTCCCATCCCATCCATGAGATGTGCTCCCATCCCATCCATGAGATGTGCTCCCATCCTATCCATAAGATGTGCTCCCATCCCATCCATGAGATGTGCTCCCATCCCATCCATGAGATGTGCTCCCATCCCATCCATGAGATGTGCTCCCATCCTATCCATAAGATGTGCTCCCATCCCATCCATGAGATGTGCTCCCATCCCATCCATGAGATGTGCTCCCATCCCATCCATGAGATGTGCTCACTGAGTGCGAACTGAAGCCATATGCCACCACCAGGCCACATGCATGCGGGCTCAGCACTTACTCAACACGCCGCACTCCCTTCAACCAGCTAACCCCTGCCACCAACTCACCTCACAGGTTCACGCGAGCAATGGACTTGTAAGGAGAGATGCTCCCCCGAGTGCGCAGTGCAGCCGGACGCAATCACGTTCAACATGGTCATGCTGGCTCAGTGCACCTCACTCCCTTCCCCCTGCTGCCCCATCCCACCTCACAGGTTCGAGCGAGCAATGGAGCTATACAGAGAAATGCGTTCCCCCGAGCACGCAGTGCAGCCGGACGCCATCACATTCAACACGCTCATGTTCGCTCACCTCCTTTCCATCCCCATGCTCGCGTCCTTCAATTCCCACTGTGATACCTCGCAGGTTTGAGAGAGCAATGGAGCTATATCGCGAGATGCGTTCCCCCGAGCGAGCAGTGCAGCCGGACGCCATCACCTTCAACACGCTCATGTTTGCCGCCGCCCAGGCGAAGCTTCCCGGGAAGGTGCTGGAGGTGTACGGCATGATGGTGGCGGACGGCGTGCCGCCCAACCAGATCACGTTCGGGATTCTGCTCGAAGCCGTGGGCAGCGGCGGGCGGCTGACTGCCGCCCTGCAGGTGGGTGTGTGTGCATCCCAGGAGGTGGGTGGGAGCCTCCCACTGGGAGGGAGGGAGGAGGGAAGTGGAGAGCACCCCAGAAGGAAGGTCCCTCATGGATGGAAATCCAGGCTGCCAAGGCAGGGAGCACATTAGAGGGGAGTGGTGGATGGAAATACGGGGACGTGCACTCACATTTTATGCTCACTCTACCCGTCTCTTCACTCATGCTGCTCATCGTGCACAGGTGTTCAACGAGATGCGGGCGTCAGGCATCCCCCCCACCACCTCCACCTTCAACTACCTCATAGACGCCTGCGCCACCGCTCCCCGCCCTGACGTGAGTGCCTACCGTCCCTGATTGTTCATTGCTCATTGGGTCGTTTCAAAAGGCAACCCCCCCTCACCCCCCACCACCTCCACCTTCAATCAACTACTTCATTGACGCCTGCGCCACCGCTCCGCGCCCGGACGCGAGTGCTCGTTTATCACTCTTTGAGACGCCTCGAAAGCCCCCTTCCTCTCCCCTTCCCACCACCTCCACCTTCAATCAACCACCTCATTGACGCCTGTGCCACTGCTCCCCGCCCGGACGTGAGTGCTTGTACACCGCTCTTTGAGATGCTTCAAGAGGGCCCCTTCCCCATCTCCATGTTCAACTATCTGGTTCATGTCTGCACCACCACCATGCACACGGTAGATGTGACTCGCACCACCAACCGCCCTTCTTCTCTCCGAACCCGGCTGCACCGCACGCCACCCTCCATCCCCTGTGCCACCTGCAGGCGGTGAAGGCGTGGAGCCTCTTTTCCGAGATGGAAGGTGCTGAGAACGTTCGTCCCAACGCAGAGACGTTCAACCTGCTGATCACCGCGTGCACCAAGGTGGGCTGCTGTTTCAGAGGTTGTTCTAGTTCAGTTTTGAGACGTCTCAAAACTACACCAAGGTCCGCCACTATTTCAGAGCTCTACTTCCTGGTTGCAAGTCTCGGGCTTGGATTTGAGTTTTCAGTTTCAGGTTCAAGCTACATGCTGGCATTGTTGGGCAGTTGGGGGGAAAGAAATGGAGCACTGAGAGGGTGTGTGTGTGGCATGGCGAGATCACACACACACCTCCTTTGCTGCTGCTCTCCCTTCACCTGTGCGTGCGTGTGTCTATCTGTGCGCGTCTGTGCCATGTGTCTGTGCCATGTGTCTGTGACAGGCGGGCGACCACGAGGGGGCACTAAGGGCGTTTGACATGATGAGGGAGAGGGGGTACACGCGCGCCATCACCACGTGCACCTTCAACAAGCTGCCTCTGCGATGTGTCCCTCTCTGCCTGTCTGTGCTGTGTTGTGACAGGCGGGCGACCACGATGGTGCACTAAAGGCATTTGGAATGATGAGGGAGAGGGGCTACACGAGGGCCATCACCACGTCCACCTTCAACAAGCTCATCCACTCCGCTGCTGCCACTCCCTCTGCCTCCACTGAAACCGCCTTCCAGGTATTCCACGCCCTCCCTTCTGTGCCCTGCCTTCCAGCTACGCTCTCCCCTCTGCGCCTTCATTCCAGGTATGCCCTCCCCTCTGCGCCTTCATTCCAGGTATGCCCTACCCTCTGCACCTTCATTCCAGGTACGCCCTCCTCTGTATGACCTCACTCTATGTGTGCCCTTCCTTACTGCATGCCTTCCAGGTATGTGTCAAGCCATCGACTCATGTTTTCCTGCTCACCCTTCCTCCCAACGCCCATTCCGCACTCTCTCACCCATCCTCCCACCAACCCAACCCCTCTCTCACCCTTCCTTCCCTCCCCTTGCTCACCCTGGACACACTCATCACGGCATGTGGCAACGACGGGGACGTGACCCCTGTGCTCTCCCCTCGCCCCTCCTTTCCACCACCGACCACCTTTATTCACCCACATCCTTCCTGTCTCCCTGGTCACCTCTCCCCCCACCAGCTGTACAGTCAGATGCGAGCGGAGGGGCACAGGCCAGACATGGTGACCCTGGCCACGCTCATCACAGCGTGTGGCAAGGACGGGGACGTGCCACACGCGCTAACCCCTCGCCCCTACTTCCCATCTCCCTTCCCCTTCACAGCTGTACAGCCAAATGAGGGCGGAGGGCCACAGGCCAGACGTGGTGACCCTGGGAACGCTCATCACAGCATGTGGCAAGGACGGGGACGCGGCACGGGCCATGGCAGTGCGGCAGGAGCTAGAGGCCGAGGGGGTGCCGCCCAACGCCGCCGTCTTCCACGCGCTCATGGCGGTGCAGGGCCGCGCTGGCTTGTGGCCAGCGGCGCTCGGCACGTTCCGGGAGATGCAGGGCCGGGCGGCGGAGTGGGAGCGGAAGGGGAGTGGCAGCACTGTTATTGGTGGCCCCAGAGAGGTGAGCATGGAGAGGTTGTATGGCCTTGCTGGGAAAGGTGAGGGTATCTGAAGCATGGGATGTTTTTCACAAGCTAATCAAGCTGTTTTGAAAGACCAGCATAATGCCCACGCCTCCCTGTTTCTACCCGGTCTCCTCCCCTCAGTCCCCCCCCCCTCCAAACCCTCTCCTCACCACCTCTCTCGCCCATCGGTCCCGCATGGCTTTATTCCCGCTTGGACCGCTTGGATCCGCCCCTCATTCCCTCCCCCTCCCCCCTGCCCGTGGCCCTCGCCCATCTTACCCCTGCCCCAACCAGAACCCCCTGGCACCAACCCTCCCGGCGTATACAGTGCTTTTTGACGCGTGCTTTGGCCCCGAGGGGGCAGATGCAACAATCAAGAGCCTCGTCGAGAAGGGGCACAGGCTCTCCCTCACACCGGGTGAGATGAGCTGCTGCATGGCTGGTGGGCATTGGGAATGGGATTGGCGACAGGGAGGATTGGCAGGCCGGCGCGCCTGATGGCTTCAGTCTCCTTGCCCACTTGCTCCACTCATCTCCCCTCTTGATTTCAATCCTCTACTATTTCATTGCACCCTCCCCTCTTCCCATGCTGTTCTGTGCTTCTCAGCCCTGGCAGCAGCGGTGGAGGTGTACAGAGAGGCAGCAGAGGCGGGCACCTTCTCGCACTACGCCCTCACTGATGCCTACAGGTTAGCCTCTTCTGCTCTCTGTATACTCCCCCACCCATCTGCACCGCACACTGCTCTTTGCACTGCGCCTGTGCCGACCATGCTCCATCCGATCACACATACACCGTCAGCAGTTTCACCCTCATTCCCCTGCCTCCAACTCACTCTCCCTCCTAATCTTGCTCCCTCCTTCCCGTAATCTTGCTCCTTGCCCTGCCGGCATCCTGAGACCCTCCCCACTCATTCCCCCAATGCATGGCACTTGAGTGTACAGAAACTGCTGCTCTCTTTTCTCCAATCTATTTTCCTCTGCGTTGCTTCACAGGTGTGATGTGCGCAGCTCCACGCGCCCCATAGCCACCGTGGCCCTGCTCTCCCTCCTGCTGCATCTTGCCTCTCCTGCCGCCACCGCGGCTGCTGGCACTGCCACTCCTGCTGCTGCCACCGCTTCCCAAGATGTTGCTTCCACTGCTGCTGCTCCTGCACCTGCTGCAACCGTTACAGCTGCTGCCGCTGGAGCCTCAGCCGATGACTCGTTAGTGTGCGACTTGGTTATTGTGACAGGGATGTCGCGAGCAAAGGTAAGCTGATGTGCACACCCACACGCATCTATCGTAACGAGTCACCATTCGGGTTTACGTTCTCAGCATCTCAACCTCTCACGCACGGTTCACTACACAGTATGTGACTGTCTATCCTCACCTTCGTTTTCTCTGTGTGCCCTTCCTCATGCCCCCATTGTCATGCGTGCAGAACCAGCCAATAGGAGAGGCACCTCGGGGCAGGTTCCCGAAGCTGTTTGTGAGTGTGGATCGGACACTGCAGGCGGTGGGGCTCAAAGGCAAAAGCATGCGTGCTCTCACCATGCAAGCGCTGTCTGTGGATGCTCAACAGCTCGCGCAATGGCTCAAGACAGACGCTGCTGCCGTGTTTCCCGAGTTGAGCAAGTAGTGGTGGAATGTCTGATGCGGAAAGCTGGCAGTAGTGGTGGGCTGCAAGAAGTAGCGCTGTGTAGTCCCTTATTGGTGTTTTTTTTTGTGTTAATATCTATAATCTGTTGTAAAACGTATGAAAGTAACACTGTTACGACCTGTTTACCTGTGGATTCTACTAGGAACAACCTTGCAAAACTGTGACGCGTACAATGCCAACATCAGAACCCTTCGAATTTGCGTCCTGATCCGCACTTGAGCACAAATGGCCGACTCATGGTTGAGAGTGTCTCGGGAGTATCGCGCTGCGGGCATCCTGCCGTACAGCTTTGACAGCGACGGCCGGCTGCTCTTTCTGTTCCAGGCAGAGGCGAGCAAGAAGAAACCGCACGCGCGGAATAGGCTGCGGCGGAACGCGCAGCGACCGAATGGGGCAGGAGCGGATGGAGGAGTGGCGGAGCAGATAGGACGGGACGAGAACGGGGAACGGGGCGACCAGAGGCGCGAGGAGAAGGAGAGTGAGGAGCGGGAGTGCGAGCAGAAGGGAATTGAGGAGGCGGAACGTCGCAGTGGTGGCGCAGAGGACACGACGATCGCTGCTCACGGCGTTGCTGGTGCGGACGGCGCGGATGGCGCGGACGGTGTGGATGGCGCGGACGGTGCGGATGGCGCGGGCGGTGCGGATGACGGCGATGGCGGTGCGGAGAGATACCGCGTGAATATTGGCGATGAGGACTCTCGTCGCTTGTCATGCACTGATGCCCGTTGCGCGCAGGGGAGCTCGTGCGCGGGAGGCGGGGGAAGAGCGCAAGAATGCTCGATTGACCCGGGCGGGGGGGAAGCGGAAGAGACGAGTGGGGAACTGGATGCGAGGGGAAGGATGAGGGAAGCAGAAGGGGAGCTGCGGAAGTGGAGGCGGGGAGAAGGAATGAGTGCGGAGATGAGGGGCGAAGGGGAGCGGAGAAAAGTGGGAAAGAAGGGGAGGGGGGAAGGAGGAGGAGAAGAGAGAGGAGGAAAAAGGGTGGACGCACAGGAGAGAAGGGTCTAGGTGCTGAGGGTGGAACGCAAGGGAATGGGCGCGAGGAGAGTGATGGGCGAGAGAGCGAGCTAGAGGATGGGAAGGAAAATGGTGAGCAACAAGGGAATGGGAAGCAGGGAAAAGAGGAGCAAGAGCAGGGGCAGCAAGAGGAGGAGCAACAGAACGGGAAGCAGAAGGAGGAGCAGGGGAAGGGGAAGCAGGGGAAGGAGGAGCAAGGGAAGGGGAAGCAGGGGAAGCAGGAGCAAGAGAAGGGGAAGCAGGGGAAGGAGGAGCAAGGGAAGGAGGAGCAGGGGAAGGAGGAGCAAGGGAAGCAGGGGATGGTGGATGAAGGGACGGGGCAGCAAGAGAAGGAGCAACAAATGAGGGAGGAAAGGAGGAGGAGGAAGCAGCAGGCACGTGAGCTGAAGAAGGAAAACAGGAGGCAGCAGAGGGAGAGACAGAAGCAGCAGAAACAAGAAAGGAAGGGGCGGAATCGGGAGCAGCAGCAGCAGCAGCAGCAGCGAGGGCGAGTGGGGCCGGTGTATCTGATGGACTTTGGCGGCAAGATAGAGGTGGAAGACAACCATGCACCTGCCCTCACTGCCGCTCGGTGAGCAATGCCCCTCATCCATCCTGTCCCACCGTGCCCTGCCCTGCCCTCTCCCCCCCTGCCCTGTCCTCCCATGCCCTGCCATGCTCTGCCCCGTCCTGCTCTACCTGTCCGCCTCTCGTCCAAACTCTATCTCCCACGCACCAACCCATCCATGCCACCACCCTGTTGTTCTCAGAGTGTCGTAGTTTTATCCTTTCCCATGTGACTGTATGCGATGTGTGCTTATTGCTTATTGCTTATTGCTCAGGGAGTACGTGGAGGAGCTTGAGGCTGGCTGTGAGAAGCTGGAGGGCGCCACGTGGCAGAAACGCGTTGCTGACGTGGCAGCAGCTCTGGACCAATCAGAGGCGTTCTATTGCAAGGCCAGCAAGTATGTTCTCTTCCTGTGCAACGAGAGGAGTCTCAGGGATAGCAGCAAGGATGTGACAGTAGGCAGTGTGACTGAAGATGAAGTTGCTTCAGATGGCATGACTAAATGTAGTGCTGCTTCTCATCCCGACACGGCTGAAGCAGCAACAACAGCGCCAACTGCAGCTCAGCTAAGCAGCAGGTGGGTGGAAGCATCAGCTGTGGTGGATCATCTCTTATGTAAGCGTCAGCTGCAGCCACCTCTTCATCTGAGGCTCTATCCTTCTGGCCCTATGGGAGGCGTTCAGGCATTCGTAGATCACATTTTGAGGCTTCAAGTAAACGATGCTTCTCCTGGCATTCCCTGTCCCCCTGCATTGAGTTCGGTCGAGTTACCATGCTCCATTGTTGATGCCTCAATCAGCTCACCATCGCTGGAAAAGGAAATTCTGATCTGATTTGCATGTGTAGTTTATTTAACAGCTCTCATGATTTGAGTTGTTAGAAACTGGTGCACATTGGAATCCGTAAATAATAACCCACACAGTAATGAGATTTATGAGCATGCATTAGGGAGTGCAGCTGCACTAGTCGGACATTCAGGGCATCTTATAGTGCATTTAGCGGGGATTGAAGGGGTTCGGGACCAGCTTGTTGTCGTCGTGCAATCAACAGCTGGCGGCCACCTGGAGACAGGCGTTACATTATCGTTTTGTGTGACGTGGCGTGTCAAATGAATCCACTTTGGCGCACCAGCAGTTCCGCAGTGGGCCAGTGGCCCAAGAGTTTCGCGTCCGGACAAACTAAGTGCGCTCATTCAGTTGCGCAAAAACCTACGCGTAATGAGTTCTTTTGTCATCTCATGCAGGTTCACCGTTTCGCAACTTCAAATGCTGACTGGATTCGCCTCAGCCATCAATCACAACGCCGTACGGCGAACCGAGCAGTCAAAAGTGTATTTTCCTCCAATCCCTGCCGTACAGATTGCACGTCAAGTGCACGAATGCCCTTTCCCAGGGCCAGGTGAATCCTACTCTTCATTTGCTACAAGCTACAGCACCCCGCAAACACTCGTACATCTGTCCATCGGTCCGTACCGTACCGTACCACACTCTGTTTGCCCGTGGTCAAATTGTAGAGACGACCGCCAAATTGCCAAGGATTGAAGGGGCGTTTTCTTACATTTCTTCAGGAGGAATTCCTTCCTGCTGGTTGTGTAACGAACCTGTCTCTTGACTTGTGATTTCCTCCAACAGTGTTGCTTCTCACATGGAGGTCCTTAGCGGCACGTTCGGCGATCCAATGAGCGGCGTTCGCAACGCGGCTGAGGCCCGAGCGGAGATCGCGCGACGTGTCGTTTCCGGCCTGCGATCCAACGCACACCCCAATCTTTTCGCAGAACCCAACGAATTTCCCGACCTAAGAGTATTCGCGGACGAGGCAAACTGGATCGACTCGAATCGCTTCGACGAGGAGCTCCCACCGGAGGGGGTCGCCCATGCGGAATGTCCGGAGAGCGCCGCGCCGCTGAGGCGAGGCAAGTCGCTGGGAGCGCCGAAGCAGAGCTGCCACGCGGTCAGCGGCGATTCGCTGTCACCCATGTCCCCGCGCCTTGATTCCGAAGCCAACGTATGGGAGGATTTCTGGCATGTCGGGAGTGTTGCCGGCGCCGGGGAAGACCTAACGCGGGTGGCGCGCGCGGGTGGCGCGCGGGAAGAGCTAGCGCGGGTGGCACGCAAGGTCGTGGCTTCCGCCGCTGCCGCTTCTCCTCGCTCTCGCCGTGATTCCCCGCCGAGCGTGGCGGAGAATTCGGCGGAGCGGGACGAGGGCGAATTAGACCTGTACGGCGTGGATGCATCGGCCAGGACTGATAACCTTTACGGTAGGCGTGGCGATAGCGAGGAATGTTTTATCGGGGATGAAGATTCTCCCCATTATGTGGGAACAGGGGAGTGGAAAGCAGACGGGCCGGGACTATCGGCGGAAGACGAGGAGAATGTGGGAGGCGGCGGTTACGGCGGCGGGGAGGAGGGCAGTGAGAGTGGTGGAGTGGCGGAAGGCGAGGGGGACTTGTACGGTGACGCGGAGGACGGGGAGGAGGAGGCGGAGGATGCGGAGGACGCGGAGCAGAATGACGAGGCGGATATTCACGAGGATATGTATGGCGGTGGCGACAGCGACGGGGAAGGGGAATTGAGCGCGGCGGAGCGGGAAGAGGGGGGCCTGGGTGGAGGCGAGGGGAGTGCGGCGGGGGAGGGAGTAGGCGGGGAGGAGGAGGGCGAAGGGGAGGATTTGTACGGTGAGTGCGGTGATAGTGACGCGGGGGAGGGGGAGGAGCAGGTGTGGGGGGAGGAGTGGGGCGGCGACGCGGTCGACGAGCCGATATTAGATGGGGGGGATGCGGAAGAGCGCGGAGAGGGAGAGGAGGACGTGGGAGGGGTGGGAGGAGATGGAGACGTGTATGGGGGGTGGGGAGGGGGGACGTGGGGGGTGGAGGAGGGAAGGGTGTGGGAGGAGGCGGGCGAGGGAAGCGAGGGGGAGAGAGGTCAGGGTGAGCGGGCGGAGCAGCAGGAGGAGCAAGAGGAGCAGGAGGAGGAGGAGGAGGAGGAGGAGGAAGGAGGACAGGAAGGAGGGAGCGGGGGGGATGCGTCTGCGGAGCCTTCCTGTTTGAGCACGCTCTATCAGCAGCTGTGCCAGGCGGGAGAGCGCGCAGCAGAGGAGTACCCTGGCTCTGAGGATCTGTACGAAGCCACGTCAGCACACGGCGGTGACACGGCAGAATTGGACGAGGCGGCAGCGGGCAGAGAAGGCACGGCGGCAGCAGAGGGCAGCCACAGAGTGGGGCGCCATGGCGGCCTGCCCCATCCTAGCCTGTCTCATCCCACCCTCCCGCATGCTGCCGCCCTGTCGCATGCCGCCCTGCCGCATGCCGTCCTGTCGCATGCCGCCCTGCCGCATGCCGTCCTGTCGCATGCCGCCCTGCAGGGCTTCCGGCAACGGGTACGTCTCTCACTTGACGTGGAGGTCGATGCTGACTCAT